GGTCCTTTTGTATTAAGGATTTAAGGCCTTAAGCATAGCGGTACCTATGGCATTGTTGTCAGAGTTTTGGGATTGGCCAGGATGGTCCGGCCGGACATCTTTGAACCATATCTCAACTCTCACAAAATGTTGGTTTCCGTAGTACTTTTGGTAATGATCATTTTTGACATTGAAGTCATTTATATCGAGAGGTTTCATGGGTAGACCTAGTGGGGGCAGGTTATGAATTGGTGTCTTATACTGTCATGCTACCGTACAAGTTGTGTGCTGTGGGCGGGTTTTAGTTGCCGCCGATGCTACCTTACTGACGAGTAAGTGTGGGCGGACACTACGAATTGTCATTGCTACCACACATTTGAGTACGTCGTGGGCGGGTTCTGGTCGCTATTCGTACTGCCATGTCGTCTTTGTTTAGTACTTTGATTTGATTTATTAATATCTTGGAGTTCTGTTGGTGGTTATTTTTGGTTCCTTATGATGGTTCGTCAAGAGGGGTGCTTTCGATTGTTGTCTTCCATTCCCTCGTCTAGCCTTAAGTTCTGTGTGTGAGTTTCGACTTGTGGTGTGGCCATGTGATCACTTTTCTTTTGAGGGGTTGTTCTGTTGTGAGCACGTGGGTGCGAATGACATGGGGTTGTACGTTGTCTTCAGTTTTAGGATTGCTTTCGTAGCATGTTGTGAGGGATACTCAGAGATGTACTCCATACTTATCTTAATTTTGCCTTTTTGTTTTGTTGGGGCTAGATTTCGGGGACGAAATCCCTTTAAGGTGGGAAGGTTGTAATGACCCGGTCATTTTTCTTCCTTTTCTTTTTTCTCAGATTTTAACGGATATTTTTTTCCTGTTGTCTTTTCCTTTTTGGGTTCGGTTTTTCATCACTTGATGTCGTCTCGAGTGCTCTGAAATGATTTCCGAGACTTTTTTCCATAGATTGACAACTTCCTTTGGGGATTGTGTCATTTCCATATTTTATTTTTCTGAACACTATTCACATTTTGTCTTTTTCTCGTTTATCCTTTTTTCTTGCACAACCTTACTTTTTGTGCTCGGATTTGATTCCGGTTTTACATGCATTCATGATATTTGATTTCTATGATAGTGGTATTTTTACTTTTCTAGAAAAGCATGTTGATTGCTTGCTTCTTTCATAAAGGGGCATTAATGCATACTTTAGTGTAATTATTCTTAACTTGTGGGGTTTTAGTGTAATTAAATTAAGTAATTATTTTTCATCTTGGGGATCATTTTACAATTAAATTTGGAAGATATTTTCAAAAAGGACCTTTTTGCAATTTTTGAAAAGTGTGACAAGTGTCACACTCTCATTGGTCCACTTGTTGACATTTGTGTGGAAATACTTTAATGTATTGAATGATGACATTTGGAGGGTGAGGATTCACCCACTTGTTGGCCTAGGATTGGTGCACTTGTTGGCTTGGATGGTTGACAAATTTAGGTGTGGGATTAAGCCTATGAAGGAGCCATGGATTTGTGACAAGTGTAGGTTCACAATTTAGTCTTGAAAATATCTTTGGGCCACTTTGGGATTATGGTTTTAAAGGATGGTTTTTGTGCAATTGACCATGGATGTGTGTGTTGACCATGGTGTAAGAGCACATAGTGAGTGGAGGATTTCTATTTCCTCCACTCACACTTAACCACATTATTTCATTCTCTTCCTTACAAGAAAACCCTAACCTCCATGAATGGAGCTTGAAGCCTTAGGCTTGATCTTTGATGCCCTTCCACTTGCTTTAGACCATAAAGCTTGGAATACTTTTTATTCCCCTCATCCTCCTCTTCAAAACCCTTGAAGGATCTAGCCTAACTCTTAGTTTTGCTTTGGTATCTAGAGATTCAATTCTCTAGTGAGGTATTGATCTATTATTTTGAAGTATTTTTATGTCATTATTGAGTGTTTTACATGCATGGAAAAGAATGACTTGTATTTTGCCCTTAAACTGTTTTAACTTGAAATTAATCTTGTCAAATTAAATATAGAATATGAAAATATACTCAATTAGCTTTCATTTAGTTTTGGTTTCATGTAATTTGGATTTAAAATGAATTAGTTATGAATTTTTGAAGTTGCAAGCTAGTTGCTGGAAATTTGAAGCTTTTCCTTTTCGGTCCGGAAATAAATTTTTATATGGAGCTGTGGTGCTTCAATTGTCTTGAAATTTTTACTGGAACTTCCTCCATGGGTTTTAAACTACTCAAAAAAATTTCACGATTTTAGAGCATTTCTAATTTTTTTTTTAAAATCCGAAACTATCTGTTGTCCATGTTTTTATTGCAGCTGAAAAACATATTTTTAAATGATTTATTTCACTAACCTTTTGACATTGGATCATGGCTTAAATTTTCAGTTTTACACTCTTATATGTTTACTTCCAAAATAAATTAGGTTTGCCCAATTTGGATATCAAATGAATTTTTCATGAATTTTCAAAGTTGGAAGCTACAGGCTGAAAATGTGTTTTCTGGGCAAAATTTGTTTCAAAGTTGTGAGTCAAAACCGTTTCAATTGGGAAAATATTTTGTTAAACTAAATTGATATTATCAAATTACAGTGTTTAAGCTTTTAGTGGGCTTTAGATTCATTCAATTTGGGTTAGAATTGAATTTTTATGAATTTTACAAGTTGAAGGTAACAAGTTGAAAAATCAGTTTTGCGGATTGAAAATTTGGGGCGATTTCATTTCGGTGGTAATTGGGATTTTCATTCCAATTGAGGTAGGGAATGTTTTAGGATTATTTGTGTGTTGTATTGTGTGTTTGCCATGATTATACAACATATATATATACCTTGTATCAAATCTAGAAAGTTAGTAATTTTTATTTCTTTATATAAGATTTAAAATTTATGATGATGTATAACTTTAATTTGAATTGTAACATGGTAGTAAATTATGCTTAGATATGTTGGTTAACATATATTAAATTTGGATCATTTGATTAAGAATTACAACTTTTATTTAATATTTATCTTTAATGAAAGTTTAATTCACATGGTTGTATCAAGTATTAAATCAAGTTGTAATGTGGTATTTAAATAGGCCTTGGCATGTTCTCTAACATAGATTAAATTGAGAGCATTTGGAATTGTTTAAAAACTCTAGAGGAAATTAATTAATTAGTTTGATTAATTTTGTTTTAAGTGTTTTAATCACTTAACTTGTTATTTGATGTTATATATATGATGACCATGACATGTCTTTCAATATATATTAAATTGAGGTTATTTGGATTAACTTGGAATTTAGAAAATTTAACTATTTATATTTAATTAAATTCTACTTTATTACTCTTTGGATTTAATTGCATTTTGGAAATTGTTTCTATATTTAAATCATGGATTTGGATTTGATGTATGTTCACTTAATTACTTTTGAGTATTAAATAACATAGTTGTTACTTTTATATTCATGAGAATATGTTTTTCCTTATTAAATATATTGTTGCTATGTGTAAGTAATTGCACACTTTGTATTTGACATCTTACATGCCATAGTAGTTGTGAATTTTGAGCATGTATTGTATAAGTTTCCAAATTTTGGATTGTGCTTGGTAAATAGTTGATATCTTGTATATACATGTTGATATATATACGTCGTTGCACAATTTGTTGATTTTGAAAACTTGGGGATGTCGTTATTTGGTTATGGCTAGGACTTGGTTCTAGTACGGGGGATTGTCCCTCTATATAGTCTAGTGCGCACATAGGGAGGTTACCAATGGGCTAGTAACCCTAAAGTAGCTATGTTGTCGGTCTGATCCGGCGTGACGTCTGAGTATCCACTTTATTTTATTTCGTATTTCATTTCAAGTTGATAACTAGATGATATCGTAACTTATTGTTCCTTATTTGATTTCCTATTTTGAGCTTAAGATGTAGCTTTGTGAAAGCATGCTTCATGCGTTGTATTGGAAGTTCCATTGTTGGTTAAATTGCATCGATATCATAATTTGTATTTTGATGTTCAAATATAGTTTAGGAATGGCCTTATAGATTCATTTTGAACATAAACGTTAGGTGGCATGACTCACACTTGTTGTTTTCTTATTTTGGATTTCAAGTTGAAGACTTTGAGAATCTATATCTTGTTGCCTTGTATAACATGTTTCCAAGTTGTTTGAATTGCATAAACAATGTAATTATGATAGAAATGATCTAGGTAGCTTAGGATGCTCCCTGATTCTCATCTTGGCATAGACGTTAGGTGGCATAAGCCCCTTTAATTTGTTTCATCATAAGGTGATAAAATTGTAAAATGCTAGGTCAATGCATGCTCATCTCCTACGAATAGCTTTATGTTACTCACCCCTACGATACTGGGGCATATTTCAGGTACAGGACTCAGGATTTGAAGATTCCATTGCTCCTTGGATGGCTTACAGTTTTTAAGTTTCTATTTTATGCAAGTGTTAGCATAAAATGCCTCTTTGTAGCCCTATTTGTTTAAACTTGTATTCGTTAATTCGTATATGTAAAGTGTACATAAGTGCACTCTTTTCAATGTATTTAACATGTATGAGATGAGGCCGGAGGCCAATGATATGTATCTCGTTTTCTATGCACTTTTGTTTTCAAAGTTTATTATGAAAATATTGAAAAATGTTAAGTCATTACTTTATAACTTTCGCATCGGGTGTTGGAATTTCATATCTTTTCTGCCCGGACTTAGAATCAGACGATTCTTGAGTCTAATTTTGTTCATTTTTCGTTGTCCTTCCAATGGTGTGCACGGTGGCACCCTTTTCAGTGAGAAATGACCATTTTGCCCTTAGTTCATCTCTTTTCGGGTTAGGCATTCTTGCTTCATTTGCTTGGCTCATTTGAGTTCCGTGGTTTCATGGAGAGTTACTTTGGGGCCTTAGGGATGACGTACATCTCTTGAGGTCATTTGGCTTCTTTCGCTTCTGCATTTCGGGTCCGTTATCGGGTCAACTTCCGATTCATCACTAACGCACCGGGTTGAGAAATTCGGGTCGTTACAAGAGCAGTGTTGGATGGAAACGTCAGAGTACAATTGAGTGACTGAATATGATAGGGATTGTGATGATTATTCCAAACCCCACCGGAAAGTTTCGCAGGAGTATCGTCAGATTGCGGCGAGTGTAGGAGCGACATTGCTTGATTCGTCGGAAGTTCAAGAAGTGCAGTGAAGGAGCTACCGACTTCCAGCGGTGTGGACATTAATCTTTGAATTTCCTCACCGAATTGGAACGATTCGACTCCAATTTCTCCGGATCTAACTTCGGCACTTTCAAGTCCCTTCATCAAACGCTTCAATTCCAACCGAAATAAAAACCAAATTAACCAAGCCAGACCTCGATTAAACAAGTTTAATTTAACTCCAACGCCGTTTTAACAACGATTTTTGGAACTATTTAACTAAAACCCATAAAAATACCTCTACGGAGAAGCAGAATTGAAGCTCAGTTCTACCTGTACAAAGAAAAGGCCGGTTGATTAAGGAAGGACCTCCCATAGCCAATTGGCAAAATAGGTATTTTGCCAATTGAAGCAAAATTTAACTAAGAGTATGTTAAAAGCAGCGCCGTTTGGTGTAGGAGGTACAGTTGCCGGTTCTTCAGACAAAGGCTCGTAGCCGGAGACGACTCAAGAGGCGATCGTTTTGTCACCAAGGGTATTTTAGTAATTGGCAAAATACCTATTTTGGCTTTTTTAATTTATTTGGTATATTAGAAGGGTAGTTTCGTCCTTTTATCACAGACATGGTGCAATGTGATCAATTTTCATAGTGTTGGGGGTTTTCTAAAATAGGTTGGGGGTATTTGATACAAAATCTGATAGTAGTGGGGGTTTTATGAAATCACCCCTTAAATTTACTAGAACATAGCTTTTTATTTTAAGTCAAGTAATATTTCCTAAATTTTTTAAATAAGAAGTTAAAGCCAAATATTGTTTTATAATTAAATTTCAATCTTTTATTATTATTATTATTTTTCAATTAATTCGAAACACACAAATGGAATTTCATTTCAAATTCAATCTCAAATTTCTTTTTTTTTTTCAATTCCAAATCTCAAAAGAATTTGGTTTCAAACAAAGCCCGCTGATTGCATAATGTTGGGAAGTTCGATCATATCAATATTAACAAGTTTAGCAAATCAAAATTGCTAAGAAAAGAGTTAAAATAATCGAGTTATAATTAATTGCCAATTTTTTTTAGCACAATTCTATCTGAATACATGAATTTATAAAGTGAATACTTACCATATTAAACATCATTTGGAAAAATTATGAGTGTTATTAATAGAATTTAATAAGAAAAAATAACTCATGTTATGCTATGATTAACTAAATGTTCCTTTGTTGATGGAAATAATTACTTATTCTTATAGTTGGGCTGAGTTAAAAGTCTTCGAGTGGCAGACATCGGATTAAATACAGAATTTGATTCCGATACTAATCCCAGTGTTTCATGGTTCGATAAAAAAGTTTAAACTATTAAGTGAGATTAATTACCCTACCCAAATATACCTAATTATTCCATCCAAATTCGATGTGAGGTCAAGACCCTTCTTATAACACCCCTTCATCCGCTTTCCACGACATTCAGGAACAAATAAATAACATAGCCCATCAATATACAATATTATAAAAATTGACATGTATTATTATAATTTAAAGTCATAAACTTATGTATATTCCTGTAATGACCCAAATTTTCCTATTTCTTAATATTTTTTTATTCATTTATTTTTTTTGATTTTTATATACACATTTATTTATTTTAAGAGTTACAACTCTTCATTTTTTCATCTCTCTATTTATTTATTTTTATTATTATTGAAGATCGTTACAACTCTTGAGTTATGTAGCATTAAAATTTTAGTGGGTTTTAATTTTGACAAATTGACCAATTAAATATGGGCTTAATGTTTAATTAAGTTATTTTGGTCCAAGTTTGGTCCACTTAAATTATTTAATTAAGCCCAGTCCTGATGGTTAAATAAAAAGAATAATTATTCCTAATAAAATATATTTGGAATAATTATTTTTAAGGATAATTATCATAATATAACCGGTCCGGCCCAATTATGATATTTTTCTTATCAGAGAGGACACATATCATCATCATATGGATCCAAGAAACCTATAAATAGAGGCCTGGAGGAAGGGAGAAGGGACACAAATTCAGAAATCTAGAATTCCAGAGGGAAATACAAAAAAAGCTCTCATCCTCAACATCCAAACCCAAAAGTGAAGAACATCAAGCACATCCAAAGACGTGTCGTTTTTCATCAAATTCCATGGTGATCAACAACAAGCACATCCAACGACGTGCCGTTCTTCATCAAATTCCACGGTGATTCAAGAATAAGCTCGTGTAGCCTTTGAATCCAGCCGACAACAACAAGGAGATCGAATTAGAGGACCATTCTTTTTGTAACGAATATTACAAAGGATTGTACTCCATCATTATTATCATTAATAAAATTATATTTTGCCACTATTTTGTTTCCATTGCAGACTTACAAAATTTGTGTGTACAAATTTGTGGCACGCCCGGTGGGACCTCCTTTGCCTCTCATCTCTTTCTCCTACCATCAAGTTTCTTTTCTATCAGATTTTATGGCTCCCCCTAAGGCTCAGACAGACAAGAAAGCCCCAAAGAACATCACTGCTGCAAAGGCCGATGCCAAAGCCACCATGAAAAGTGGCACGAAGGCCAAATCAAGTGATGGAAGTACCTTGGCGGGACCCTTGACACGTAGCAAGTCCCGGGCGATGGCATCATCCAAACATCAGCAGGACTTGGTGAAAGACACTCATGCACAGCCGGCGAACGTGAAAACCCAACATGTCAAGAACCCTGGCGTTGTTCCAGAGGAGATTCCGCCACCAGATTCATCTCATTCCATCCATGATGCTCGCTCTAGTGTCGGTTCACCTCCAGAGTCACCACGTCAGACTTCGGAACATTCAATCACTTCAAGAAACGTTGACTCTCAAGGCCTATCATACTCAGATGTGGTCACTGCTATGATGACTGGAGCTGCCACGGTGGAGGAACAACTAGCAACTATGTCTCGTGCCATTGAGAACCTCACAAAGACTGTTGAAGAGAAGGACTTACAAATCGCTACGCTGATGAACAAATTGGAAGTTCAGACCTTCGGTGAATCACTAGTACAATCTGGGCATCCTACATTTTCCACAGCACTGCCAACTGGGAATCGTGCAACTTTCACACCACCACCGTCTGGGCATCTTACATCTTCCACAGCAATGCCGACAGAGAATCCTAATTCTACCGCATAAGGTACTCATATGGAGGACCCCAAACTGACGCCGGTGACAGAACAGGTGGCTAGTCAAAACCAGACGCCGGTAACAAAACAGGCAGCTAGTTAAACCAATCATGCTTCTTCAGTCTCTTCATTATCTGTCGCACAATTGCAAGATATGATAACGAATACAATCCGAGCCCAATACGGAGGCATTTTGCAGAGCACTCTCATGTACTCAAAGCCCTATACAAGGAGAATCGACAGTATGAGGATGCATGTAGGATACCAACCTCCGAAGATTCAGCAAAGTTACGGAAAAGGTAACCCCAAGCAACACATTGCCCATTTTGTCGAGACTTGCAACAATACCGGAACAGAGGGGGATTTACTAGTTAAACAGTTTATCCGCTCCCTCAAGGGAAACGCGTTCGAGTGGTACACCGACCTAAAGTCAGAGTCAATTGATAGTTGGGACCAAATGGAACGAGAATTCTTGAACAGGTTCTATAGCACTCGTCGTACTGTTAGTATGATAGAGTTGACTAACACGAAGCAATGGAAGGATGAGCCTGTAATCGACTATATTAATCGATGGCGAACACTCAGTCTTGACTGCAAGGACCGATTGTCAGAAGTCTCTACTGTGGAGATGTGTATGTAGGGAATGCATTGGGGCCTTCTTTACATTCTGCAAGGCATAAAACCTCGCACATTTGAAGAGTTGGCTACGCGTGCCCATGACATGGAGATCAGTATGAAATCCCATAACGGCAAATGTCCGATGACCATAGAACCACGCAAAGACAAGAAGGACTGGAAGAAGGGCGACAAGTCGTCAAAGACCGCTACTAAAGATTCCATGGCTATCTCGACTACCCCAATCAAGATATCTGTTAAAGATGACAAGAAGGAGGATAAAAAGCCTCGCCAGTTTCAAGAGAGGGAAAGACAACGTCCTATGCTAAAGGAGTTGGAGAAGAATTAATACCCCTTCCTCGATTCCGATGTCCCTGGCATATTGGAATGTTTACTCGAAAGTAAAGTTATATAACTCCCTGCATACAAACGCCCTCAAGAGATGGGTCGTGTTAACGACCCGAAATACTGCAAATATCATCGTATTGTCAGTCATCCAATTGAGAAGTGGTTTATCTTCAAAGAGGTGGTGATGAATCTGGCAAAACAAGGAAAAATCTTGTTAGACACAGACGAAGCTGTAACTTCAAATCATATTACTGCTACTTTGACAACCTCTGATGTAGGGAGTGCTCGTTCTCAACCTTCAACTTCTGAGGTATATTGCACAACCATCCAGTTTGGCTCATTGGAACCAATCCCTATCTATCTTAGCCAAGGGAGTGTACTTGACATTTCAACAATTGGAAGGGTCTTTCCTCAGGATGATGAAGAAGGATGGACTCTGGTGACAAGAAAGAAACCACGGAAGCAACGAGCTAACATTCTCCAGACTAGTTATTCTGACAGGGGGCAAAGGAAGAAGAAACCTCAATACCGCCATAGACAGTATGGCCATAATAGAAAATGGGTCAAGAAGACACAATCAACCAAACACGTCTCTATGAGCAAAGGGATCCAAAAGCCTATTACTTTGTAAAAGTTCTTTCCAGAAGGATATCTAGATGACAAAGTTGTGACAGCGTACATGGTCTCAACTGAGAAAACGAGCCCTGATGATGAGAATAGCAAGGATCAAGATGAAGCCTAGACTGTGGAGAACCATGTAAAGGATGCAGCCATCATTGACAAAATCGATGATGATGAAGTAGTCGGAGGTACACTTGATTCATGTTATACACCAATTGTTTTCACTGACGAGGATCTTCAGCTGGGTTCGAAACCGCATAATTGTCCTCTTTTCGTTTCCGGTTACATAAAGGAATAAAAAGTTACTCGAATTCTTGTTGATGGTGGATCAGCGGTGAATCTGATGCCAAAATTTATGATGAAAAATCTCGGCATTACAGCCGACGAGTTATCTCGCAGCCGTCTTATTATTCAAGGTTTTAACTAAGGAGGACAGAGAGATATTGGCATGATTCGGGTGAAGCTAACTATTGGCGAGCTCCAAGCTGAAACCTTATTCCACTTAATTGATACAAAGACGTCTTACAACTTGTTGTTAGGAAGGCCTTGGATACATAGTAATGGCGTCATTCCATCAACTCTTCATCAGTGCTTCAAATTCTACAAGAATGGCGTACAAACGGTT